ATCATTATTCTAGGAACCCCCGTCAGATAAATGAATCAACAGTATTGGTCATTGTTATTATTATTATTATTTTGGCCGTCAGCTTTCTATTTCTTAGAATCCGGAGAATCTAGGCCGGGTTTATATAATTAAATTATAATAATAAGAATAATAATAAAAACACTGTTGTTGCTTTTGCTGCTGCCACTGCTACAACAACTACTACTACTTACTATTACTAATACTACTGCTAATACTATTATGCTACTACAACTACTAATGTTTTTGTTTTGGCGTTTTTTCTCCAGTGTTAGCTTGGTTAGTTATGGATGTGACTTTAACTGCAGTGCTAAACCTTGTGAGAGTATTGCTGATGTTGTTGTTGTTGATGTTGCAATGTTGTTGTTGTTGATGTTGTTGTTGTTGCGATGTTGTTGTTGCTGTTGATGTTTTTGTTTAGAGTTCGTTTCGTCAGCACGAACGATTTCATTGATTTTACATTTTTTTAAATTTATAGTCAAATCATCTACTAGACGAACGGCCAGCACATTGACGAACAAATTTGTTAACATTTTCAAAATCGCACTGTGTTCAGCGCTATAAGATTTTTTTTCAAAAAATCTATTTTTTGAATCGATTCCACATTTGGAGTAGTAATGGCGGCCGGTGCAAAATGGCGGGAAAAGGAAAGGCGAAGCACTAAGGAGTAGAATGAAAATATGGTTGTATATATGTGTCTATGTTTGTTCACAAAATTTGTATGCGTGTTGGTATGTTTATGTGTTTGTATGTTTGTGTTTGTGTGTATACTAGTATTCATGTATATGTGTGTTTTTGGGGGGTTTCGCCAATATTTATGCCTCTGAAGTTGCATGTTTGTGACCAATAACTGTTTAGTCAGAAAACTTTGATTTTTAAATGTTTCTTTTTTATGGACCTTTCTCTCTCTTTTTCTCTCTCTCACACACACACTTTTTCTCTCCTCTTCTATTTATTTCTCTTTCTCTCTCTTTCTTTCTTTTCCTTTATTTCTCTCTCCTATATTCAGCTGCCTATTCATTCGTTTCATCATCCATCAACCAATCTTTTGGTCACTTAATAATTGTAGAGTAAAAAATATGTATGTGTGTATGTTTGTATGTGTATGAGTGTATTTGTGTGTGTGTGTGTGGGTGTGTGTGGATGTGTGTGTATGTGCATGTGTGCGCGTGTGACAGGCAATAAATCAAAAACGCCGAATACAAAAAATTGCTTTAAAAATGTGGATTTGTCGATTAAAACGTTTCAAAGTTTTTTTTTCATAACAAAGTTATAAGCCGTAAATTTATCCTTTTGGAAATAATAAAATAATAATAATAAAAATAATAATTGTAATTATAACTATAATTAATAATGGTAATAATAATAATACCTTTTTGCCCTATTTTTTCGGCATCCTATACTGACAAAGCCTACCAGACGCACGTATTTTAAAGTAGCAAAGGCAAAACAATTAAACATTATTATTATTGTTATTATTATTTATTATTATTATTTGTTATTATTATTTGTATTTGTTATTATTATTAATATTAAATATGGATGTGGTTGTTGTTGTTGTTGTTGCTTTCGCTTTCTTTTCGATGCCCTTGATGTTGATCATTTTGTTGATGTTGTTGTTGCTGGGATTGTTGGCAACAATGATGATTAAAATGATTAGTATGATTGGGATGTTGCTTTTGAGCTGTTATCTTGTTGTTGTTACTATTATTATTATCTTTTTGTCTTTATCTTTGTTTCATTGAAACTCTTTATTGACGTCGTCTTATTTATTAACCAAAATCTTTTTTAAAATTTCAAATCTATCTCCACAACAACAACAACAACAAAAACAACACCAACAACAACAACAGCAGAAACATCAACAAAATATCAACAACAACACAAACACTAACAAAATCTACCTTTTTTTTCATTCGCAAACAGTTCTATTTGGAACCTTTTAAATCTTTCAGAATGGCAAACATCAACTTTATATAGTTGTCTATTTCGCCTTGCTATACATACATACATATATAAAGGTATATATTGGTGTGTATATATATATATATATATATATATATATATACACCTATATATATACATACAGATACGTTGGGAGAAAACCATATTTTATACAGTATTGTTAAAAATATGGTCAGTATATACAAAAAATACAATATTCCAACATTTTCGCGAACCTGACAGCCAAGTAGGAATGTGCTTCGTCTTCTCAGACAGTTAGAGGCAAAATACAAAACTATATATACTTAAACATATATACAAGGCACAGTGCGTATGAATACGCATGAACCTACGCATTCCACACACACACACACACACATATCCCTACATGTATAACAGGCGGGGGTCTCTTCGCGCTCGAATCCGGTCTCTGTGACAGTAAAACTAGACACTTTGACCACTAGACTATCTTGACGCCCGTGTAGTGTAATGTACCTAAGAAGTAATAAATGGTCTCTGCAAGGATGGGAACATTATTTTTTGTTGCCAATTAACTTTTCAATTTCTTCTCTGACAGTTTTCATTCTCGTTTTATTGTCAGTTTTTCACAGTTTTCGTTTAGGTTTAGGTAGTACGGTTCTAAAACGGATAGAGAGAGAGAGAGAGAGAGAGAGAGAGAGAGAGAGAGAGAGAGAGAGAGAAAGAGAAAGAGAGAGAGTTATCTGTTATGTTTTGTTTAATTGACCGCCTGCCGGTTGTTTTTACATGATTTTAATTGCTTTTTTAAGATGTGAAAATGAACTAACTAGTCAGTATGTTCACTGACGAACCTTTTCAGGTTTTTCCCCATTTTATTACCTAGCTAGCCGTCTTGGTGTTCATTTTTTAACAGTCGGTTGTTAAATCGTTCATTTTATTTTAACGTTATTTGTGAATGTTTGAAATCGAAAGACAAAATTTGTGAATTTAAAAAAAAGGCTTGGAAGATCTGTGCAAGATATACATCACAGGTTCATTGAAAAGAGAAAACATTCCATTGAGATTTATATTGATTAAATGGTGGTGGTTAAATATAAATAGATAGATAGATAAAATAATAGAATAAAAGTAGAATGATGAATGTGGATTTTTAAAAGGAAAAATTTCTCCAGTAACAAAGATAGATCGATGGTTTGTTTCACACTTCTGGCAAGGACTCTTAAAAATCGTAAATTTATGAACCAATCAAGCAACTGTATAATTAAGCAATCCTAGCTACACATGTCAAATTCAATGACAATATTTTAATAGCTTTTTAAAATCAAACCCTATTCTATTTTTTTCTCAATGTTTTCTATTTCTTCGTCTCCCTGTCTGTCTGTCTCTCACTCTTTCTCTCTCTCTCTCTCTCTCTCTCTTTTTTTTTACCTCTCTCTTCTCCTCAAAAAACCTCAAAGTGGCGGAAATACATTAGATCGCATTATCCTTCCATTAAGGTGACATAAAAATTTTACTATATGGCGTCTACTTTTTACCACTCTGCGTTTTTAGTGTCGTAAAGTTTAGGGACGAAACGGTTTTGTGTAACGTTTCATGTAAACAAAGTTCGGCCAGAGATCTGTTTAATGTCGGGGGAATTTTCACTAATTAGTCATTAAAGGGTGAGAAAGATGTATTTAATTTTTTTATTTTGTTTTGTTTTTGTTAAATTATTTGCTAAGAATTTGATTATTTAAAAATTATTGATATTGTAAATTATTGATTTTTCGTTTTTTGAGTGAATCCAAATCCAACTACCAAACCATATACTAATTAAAACATTTTTAGGATCAGATTAGCGTTAGAATTTAGAAGCCATTAGAGAAGTTTAGTTTGGGCTCAAAAATATGATTTATTTCAATAATTAATAAAATTTGTAATGAAATTTTTATTTAATAAATTCATTATTAAATCTATAAATAAATATAAATAAAAAAAAATAAAATTTAATTTCAATTTTCAATTATTTTTCAAAATTTAATTATAAACTAATAATTTTCTTATTTATTTCATTTTACTATTTATTAAATTTATCATTAAAAGTAATTTAATACAATTTTAACCATCTAGTTCTCAAAATTATATGTACAGTTATTAGAACTACAACAACACAGCTATAAGCTAGTCAACACTCAACATCAAGATTAATAAAAAAAAAACTAAACAAAATGTCAATACAACAACAGCCTCATGCACTAATTAGCAACAACAACAACAGGGAAGTTAGTCCTCACCAACAGCTGCATAACAACACACATACACGAAACATACATCAAAATTTCTATGACCTAAACCTAAATGATGACTACGAAGATTTAGACAACGATTCAGAAACTATAAATTATCGAGTCTCAGACAAGCTCCCCAGGTCGATTTCTATAGAGAATAATTATTATATTGATGAAAGTGGCAACAGTTATTACGATGGGGGAGATCTCGAAGACGGAGATGCTGGGTCTGGATCACCTAATCGGTTTTACGGCAACTTTAAGTTGAGTGGGGGTGAAATTCAGGGTCATCATCAACATCAGCGTCGTCAGTATTATAGTCACAATGGTGAGGATAATGAAGATGATGATGATGGTGACTGTGGAGAAACACCTAAATCACCAAAGAACTCCCAACAACAACAACAACAGCAATTCCAACAAATGATAGCATCAACCATACCAGCCAACAACAATAGCAACAACAGTAGCAGAAGACATGCCACTATATCCACATCAACCATGCATGTTACTCCAGCGCTACCAACCCCGATGAGCTCCTTAAAGTAATTTTATTTCATTATTTATAATTTATTATTTTATCATTTATAATTTATTTTATTTATATTCGAATAATTTTGTATCAGTTACTGGATTAATTGCTTCTATTTATATACGCAGTTAACACAAACTGCTTTTAATTTAACTCAACACACACATACGCATACACGCACACACACACACAGATCATGGTCAGTTGAAACATACGAATTTGCCAAACAATTTGTCTTCGAGAAGTTGGGCAGATCTCAAAAGACATCAGACTTGGAACTTGAGAAAAAAGTAGAGACACTCAAAGACACTCAGAGGCAATTTAGGTAGGGATCATCATCCTATCCTCATTGTTGCTGTCTATTTGGGCTGCTGCCTTTCAGCTCTCTTTTACTCTTATAAGTCCTAAATGATGTGTGATTAACTTTAATTACACACAACTCAAACATTAAATGGCACACACGCACACGCATTCACACACACACACGCGCGCACGCATTTACACTCTCACACACACGCGCGCACACACACACACATCTGTATATTTTTTTTACATTTATTTATGTGTTTATTTTTATTTAATATTCAAGATGAAAGAGCTTTCAACTAATTATATTTAATATTGCACATATAATTCATATATATATGATGTATGCTAGTTTTGTTTTAGGGCATAATATTTACATATATACATTACATATATCTTTTCTCTCTCTCTTTCTCTCTTTCTCTTTCTCTCCATTTATATATATATATATATATATATATATATATATGTATGGGTGTGTGGGTGTAGCTTTTTATCATTACCAAATTGGCAATTTAATAAATTGAGCCATAAAGGTATGTAAAATGAAATGAAATTAAGTGATGAAAAGGGATTGTTTAACATGCCTGAAGTTATGAGGCTGCCTGTGTTTTAATTCAATTTAACATGGAAAATTTCTTTCTACCTCTTTCTCTCTCTCTCTCTTTCTCATTGTTCTCTTTCTTTTTTACTGTAGTTCTCTCTTTGTTTGCTTTGTCTTTATGGATGTATGTGTCTGTTTGTATGTCTCTCTCTCTTTCTCTCTCTCTCTCTTTCTCTCTCTCTCTTTCTCATTTATTTCATCATTATTTCCATATATTCATATTTGGTTTGCTACTTATTAATTAATACACATTTTTGTATAGTTTGTTTTATCTTTTTTGTATTGCTCATTTTATATACACACACACAACACACGCATACACATATATTCAAGCACATATACGCACACATATATTCACGCACACACACACACACACACACATGCACAGACATCTGTATGATTTAGCAAGACATCTCTACACACAGTACGGACAAGTTATCTACACACAGAAAATTCTTGGTTAGCTTGTTTGTTTGTCTGTATTTCGTTTATTCGTTCGTTCGTTCGTTCGTTCGTTCGTTCGTTTGTTTGTTCGTTTGTTTGTTCATCATCACCATCATCATTATAGTCATCATTGTCGTCGTCATCATCACCATCACAGGTGAAGTTTTGACTGACCTGTCACACAAATATCTTGAGGATGGCCTAACTGACCAGTTCAACATAACAGCAACTACCCAAAGAATAATGACCAAAAATGGGGAAGCCTTATTGGGTTGTTGTAGTTATTATTAATATTATTATTATTGTTATTATTATTATTGGTAGTAGTAGTAGTAGTAGTAGCAGCAGCAGCAGCAGTAGTAGTAGCGGCAGCAGTAGAAGTATTAATAGCAGTACTAGTTTTACGTATGACTTTTGTGGCTGTTATTGTATTGTAATCATTATCATGATCAAAAACTACATCATCATCATAAACAACATCATCATCATCATCATCATAATCATCTACTACAACAACATCATCATCATCATAAACAACAACTACATCATCATCATCATCATAAACTACAACAACATCATCATAAACAACAACAACTACATCATTATCATAAACTACAACAACATCATCATCATTATCATAAACTACAACAACATCATCATAAACAACAACTACAACATCATCATCATCATAAACCACAACAACATCATCATAAACAACAACTACATCATCATCATCATTATCATAAACTACAACAACATCATCATCATTATCATAAACTACAACAACTACATCATCATCATCATAACCAACTACAACACCATCATCACCGTCGTTGCAGTATGTCTGAATGTTTTCTTGAAGAGCATGTCTACATTGTGCAATACAACCATCGAAGATACGCTGAACACTGTTAAGGAGTTGGAGGCATCAAGGTAGAAGATGTTCCTGATTATGATCCCTAATGAATGAATGAATGAATGAATGAATGAATGAATGAATGAATGAATGAATGAATGAATGAATGAATGAACGAAGTAGTTAGTCAATCAACCAATTATTTCCAGGTTAAAGTACGATGCGTATCGATCTTATCTTGAGAAAGTTCGAGATTCACCTAGAGACTTCCATTACACTTTGAAACTGCAAGAAGCAGAGAGAAATTTCACCAAACATCAAGTTAATCTTTTTCTTGTTGTTTTTTTTTATTGTCGTTGTTGTTGTTATAGTAACAATTATATTATTAATTTTAATTTAATTACATTAAGACATAATTTCCAATTACGATCACCTCCCAAACCAGGCCAAGTATAAAAGGCTTCATCATGATCTCAACATCAAACTCAAGTTCCTCGATGAAAATAGGGTATGTTTAGGAAACGTACACACGCACACGTACACACACACACGTACACACGCACGTACACACACACACATGCGTATCTGTAAATGGAAGTACAAATCACTTGCTGCTGTTTAAATGTTTTACTGTTTTTTTCTCTTTTGTTAAATTTTACAGAAATTTAAGAGTAATTCATAAAAATGTAAAATCAATCTCATGTATTTTTATTCTTATAGTATTAATCAATCAACCAACTGACTAACCAACCAATCAATCTATCAATCGACCAACCAATCAAACAACCACCCTACCAACCAATCAATCAACCAAATGACTAACCAGTCAAACAACCATCCTACCAACCAATCAATCAACCAACCAAATGACTAACCAATCATACAACCAGCCTATTAACCAACCTAACAATCAACCAACACCTCACAGATTAAAGTCTGCCAGAAACATCTGCACCTATTCCAGCGCGGATTCCTGTGCTACATCAACAACAACAAACAGGGCATGGATGAAATTATGCAACAATTCAACCAAAACAGCAGCAACAGCATCTCAACAACATCGACAACAAAAACTCCGACGTACCAGACATCATTTCTAGAGGCCCCAACTTGTTTACTAAAGAAGCACACTAAAGAATCAACAACAACAACAACAACATTGTCACCAAACTCAGCAGCAGTTTATGTTAATGTAGTGGCTAAAAATAGCACAGCTGTCAACAGCAACTCAGCTAATAATGGCCAAGTTATTAATAGTAGCGGTGGTGGTTCAGCTGCTTATAGACCTGCTGCTGATAGTGGCCCAGCCCTCTGTGGTGTTGCTACCCCTTCGACAACTTCCGCTCAGTCTAATTAATAATAATTATCCAATTATAATAATAATTAATTAATGATTGTTATTTAATTATGGTAACCATTGTATCAACATTCAATTATTTTATCTACATGTCGATCTATCTATTTATTTGTTTTTTGTTTGTTTTTGTTATCTTTATCAATGTCTGTCTGTGGTTTAAATCAGATGCATTTTGCTTTTATATATATATATATATATATATATATATATATATATATATATATATATATAAATGAATGTGTGTATGAATGTATGTATGTATCTACTCAGATAGCTTAGTATTTTTCATCTTTATTTTTTTCAACTCCAATATATCCTTTATTTGTTAATCATTCCATATATCTGTTATATATCTATTATATGTTTATGTACGAATATATATATGTGTGTGTGTGTGTATGTATGTGTGTATGTTTATATCTTTCATAAACATGCGATAAATAATGAAGACTTCTTTGAGTGCCTATATATCTGACTACTTTTCTTCATTCGCAAAATTTGTTTTTATTTAATTGTTTTAGCTAATTAATTAATTAATTAAATTTTCTCATTTATAGTGATGATGATGATGATAGTTAATAGTAATGATAATAAATTATTTTTTCATGATATATTCAATTATTGTATAGAGCATTATTTATATGGCTTGATTGTAATTAGATCTACCTTCATTCATTCGTTCGTTCATTTATTCGTTCATTCATTCATTTGTTCATTCATTCATTCAGTCAGTCAGTCAATTCTTCATATATTTTCTATTACTTTTTGTTGTTCATCTATTCTCAAACAAACACACACACATACACATACGCTTACACACACAGACATACAAATTCACATTCATACATACGTACAGACACATACACACACGCATACTACATACATACCGATACACACACACACACACACACACACACACACACACACACACACACACACACACACACACACACACTGAGTTGTATCAATTGTTAATATATATCATTATATACCATTATATACCAATATAGATCTGTTTGTTCTTGAATTTATTCCTCTATCTTTAATTAACGTCGTTTGTATTGGTCTATGTGTATGCATGTTTGTATGAATCTATTTGTATGTTTATTGTTGGTTTGTTTGTTTGTATGTATAGATGTATGGCTGTATGTATGTTTGTATGTATGTGTGTGTGTGTGTATGTTTATATGTACGTTTGTGGGATTGTTTGACGATGTGTGTACGCCTTCAAAAGTTTTTCTTTTGTAAATTTCTAATATTGTTGATATTGTTGTTTAGGATGTTGTTGTTGATGTTTTGTTGTTGTTTTTGTTGATGTTGTTGCTGTCGTTGACGATGTTGTTGTTGTTGGAATTTTATATTTTCTTTATATAGCTCTTTGATTTTCATTCAGTCATATTTTTTTCCAAAAGGTGATGGCCTTCAGCGAGATATTTATTTTAAACTTCTCTGCTTGCTTATTCACAAATAAATGGGTGTATTTGCCACGCTGTGTGTTTACGTGCGTGTATGTTTACGTGTGTGTGTACGTGTGTGCGTGTGTTTAATTATTCAAATGTATACTTATTCCGTCATTATTATCATTGCTTTAATTTGCAGGTGATGGTTATATCTATATATATATATATATCCTTATATATATATATATATATATATATATATATATATATATAATATTGTACTTTTTATTGATTTTTATTATTATTGTTGGTTGGTTTGAAAAATCTAATTATAATTGGATGATAATAAATGGTTTAATTAAAAAGATGTTGGGTGGAAGAAATTTTTAATGGTTATGATTGATTGATTGATTGTTCAATCTATTAGTCAATTAATTGATTGATTGATTGATTGATTGATTGATTGATTGATTGATTGATTGATTGATTGATTGATTGATTGATTAAATAAAACTAGACCAGTGAATTGTTAGCAAGAACTTTGTATTATTGTTATAATAGCTCAAAGGACAAAAACATTGTGATAGGTATTACATTAAATAGCATTAGAAAATGAATGAATGAATGTATGTTACATTAAATAACATTAAGAAATGGAAGAGTTAAACACTGTGACATTAAACCACACTGAATGACATTAACGAAACCGTCATCACATGACATTAATAGAAATGTCCTATAACATTAACATTTAAACAGAATTAGTATTATTATCAAAGTATGAATAAGTTACTCTAAAATGAAGAGTTAGTCGGTTATTTATTATCACACGCAAACAGACACACAAACACGCACACATACATTGAAACAAACAAAAGTTAAAACGAGGTGAAATATTTCCTATTCGACTAACAAACTTGAAATAAAATAAAATAACATAAAATGATACCAAGAGGTCAAATAAACAGATAGATTTATATGTATAGAAATACAAAAATGTAACTCAGATAGTTATTAACTTGATAACAAAGAAGTTTGTGTGTGTATGTATGTATGTATGTGTGTGTGTATGTATGAATGAATGTATGTATATATGAATTAATGTATGCATGCATGAATGAATGTCTATGTTTGTATGTGTTTATGATGTCTGTGTGTGTGTACGTGTGCATTTTTAAGATATTGGTCCACAATAGGATTATGAAGCTACGGAAACACACACTTGAAAGGTATTATTTGCTACGTTTAGTTAATATCATTAATTATAAAATAAATAATAGAAATGTATATATATTATATTATTTATTTATCTATTTATTCATAAGTAGACATGTATTTGGACTGCTGAATAGCGACAAAATGACCTACATACATACATAAATATGTATTCTCACACACGTACATACATACATACATACAAGTCACACACAAACATACATACACACGTAAAAACAAACAAACATACATACAAACAAACATACAAACATACATATGAACAAACAAACATGCACACATTTAGAGAATTATTAAATCTGTCTAAATACAGAAATAGTGGAAGTGTGTATATTTTTTAAAAACCTGACGTCATGGCATCCAGCACAAATAATTAATTATAATAATAATAAGTAATTATAATAATTATTATAATTATTAATTTTTTCGAAAAAAATATTGAAGCGTTTTCAAGCTAAGCAAGAAAAAAATAAACTAAATTTTTCAAGAGAGTTCATTTAACAATTCAACGAGCGAATGTATGAATGAGCGAATGAACGAACGAATGAATGAATGAACGAATGATGGAATGAATTGATGAATGAATAGATCGATAAATGAATGAATGAGAACATAAATGAATGAGCGGGTGTACGGAAAACAAGATAAAAACGAAACATAGAAAATAAAATTCATCACATATGGAACACTGCAAAATCTCAAATCAGGATAAAGATTTCCAAATGAAAATAATAATAATATATATATATATATATATATAATCATAATAATTATCTATAATTATTCTGGTTATGACATTAAACTGACCCTCACTGCCTTGTGAGTGATGTTGGATCATCAAAGGCTAGGCCCACCGCTTATAACTGTGGTTGCGTAAGGAAGGGCGTCCTTCGTAAAAATTAGCCAAATAAATTACTTATGATGACAGAAGTGACAATGGTTTCATCATAGGTAGCCAAACGGCAACCCCCGATCTCGGGAAAAATGTCGTCTAAACGTGTGTTGTTGTTGTATCTATAATTAATAATAACAATTAATAATAATAATAGTTAAATATTACATAAATATTTTAGTAATAATATTTAACTACGTCATGCGTCATATAACTAAGTCATGAATATATTAATGAAAGTGTGTGTGTGTGTGCGTGTGTGGATGTGTGTTTAAACCTATTTATTGGGTAACAAAGTTTTCTTTTATTTGATTGGTGAATAAACATACAGATGCATGCATACACATACACAAACAAACACACACACACATACACAAACTCACATACAAACACACAGATACAAACATACAAAGCATAACAAAACCGTCCAAAAACAACAAAAAATCCATATGAACTCTATGCCACATAGTCACATCAAATATATATGAGTATGATGATGACGACGACGATGATTATGCTTTTGAATGTCCAATCATATTTCCATCTTCTTCCTCTTCCTATTCCCTACTTCCGGTTAACTGTAGATATAATTATCATAATAATAAATATAATAATTATTATTAATTATTATCAATATTATTATTATTACTACTATTATTATCATTACAATTTTACACGTGATCATCATCGTCGTCATCGTCATCATTATCATCATCGTCATCATCAACCTTTCAAACTGGTACAGAGTTTTCTGTGCTCACCTTGAAGTGAATGAAATAAGAAAAATCGACAACGATAATAATAATAAATAATAACAATAATAATAATAATAATAATTATAATAATAATTTTTAACTACCGACCATTCTTATAGTTTCGTGGTTGTTGTTGCTGCTGTTGGTTTTGCTCTTGTTTCGCTTTTTGGATACACCTGACGACGACGACGATGATGATAGTGATGACTACAGCAGTAGCGATTACTACTACTACTACTACTGCTAGTATTACTAAAACTGCTTCTACTACTACTACTACTGCTACTACTACTACTACTATTACTACAACTACTACTAACAATACTAACAACAATAATAATAAAAATAATAACAGCACTTACTCTCAGATATGCCTCTATTTAGAAACGCACTAGACCTCTTAACGAAATTAATCGGCTTTTGGCTGAATGAAAAAAAAATAGCAATAATAATAATAATAATAATGATAATAACAAACTGTTATAATAAAAATGATGATGATAATAATAATAATTATGCGTCATTAAATGCCATAATAAATCTTTTTTATGGCCATAATCCCAAAAGGTCATAATCCCAAAAGGTCTTAATCCAAAAGGTCATAATCCCAAAGGTCATTATCCCAAAAGGTCATAATCCCAAAAGTCATAATCTTAAAGGTCATAAGTTCAAAGGACATAATTTTAAAGGTCGAAATTCATCGACTTACATCTCCGGCGCTATCGGATAGTAGTACTTGTAGAATCTGAAGAGAGGTTAAATAAAAAAATTTAGTATCGACAACAACAGCAGCAGCAACAACAACAACGACAACACAACAACGACAACAACACAACAACGACAACAACAACAATAATAATAATAATAATAACAGTACATTTTAGCCACAATATCTCTAAGCAGAGCCGTAAATGGAACGATCATAAGCAGGATCCAGAACATCCCGGAAGTAAAGATTTGGTAGTCCTGGTGATGATCATCAAATAATAATAATAATAAAATAATAATAAATAATAAAAATAATAATAAGGAGAAGAAGAAGAAGGATGGAGACTTTTTTCCAATAATCATTTCAAAAACAGCAAATCGTACAATCGTTCATTCATCTATTCGTTCATGTATTAATTCATTCTTTCGTTCGTTTCTTTATTCGTTTATTCATTCATTCATTCGTCGTTTAAAAATTCATCTATTTTTTCATTCCTTCAGACAATTTCAATCTACTAAACATTACGATCATACCGTCCGCAACATGTACGAACTCGTACATCAATCAATTCTCACTCACTCATTCATTCACTTGTACATTCATTCATCAAACCATCCATCCATTCATTCATTCATTCGTTCGTTCGTTCGTTCGTTCGTTCCTTCAGTCCATCCACTAACCATTCCGACCATATCATCGGCGACATCGAGCCAGGGCCAGATTCTGCAGTAGATTGGAAAGAAGAGGAACCACATCAAGATGCTTCCATGGATCAGTATGAGAATCATCTAAGTGAATGAACGAATGAATGAATGCATGGACGAATGAATGCATGGACAAATGAGTGCATGCATGGATAGATGATTAATTAATCAATCGATTAAATGAATGTGAATGAATAAGTAAAAAGATGGATTGACGAACTATAGATTAGGGAAAGGACGGATAAATAAAAACTGAACGAATGCATGAACAAATGATAAATCGTTTAATTGATTAATTAATTAATTAATTAATTCATTCATTCATTCATCCATTTATCCATTCATTCATTAACCCATTCATTTACCCAGTCATTCATCCACTCATTCATTCACCCATTCATTCATCCAGTCATTCATCCATTCATTCATTCACCCATTCATTCATTCATTCATTAAAAGCAAACTAAACTTACCGAATTCCATACATTGCATTCAATGAGAGCCTTATAGCACATGGTCACTATTATTATCTAGTAAAAAAATAATAGCAATAATAATAATAATAATAATAATAATAGCAACAATAATAATAACAATAACAATAATAATAAGAGACGTACAGTGTACATAACATTTCCGGTAAATAGATAGGAGCTAACTTTTCCATCGCTAAATACCACATCTGTGGTTGGTTGGTTGGTTGATTGATTGATTGGTTGGTTGGTGGATTGTTGGATTGGTTGGTTAATTGGTTGGTTGGTTGATTGATTGGTTGGTTTGT